TATATATATATATATATATACATATTTCAAGTAAATGTTAATTATGATCAATCTCCGCTATAAAGGGAACGCGAAGCAGGAGCTGGATGATACTCACTTTGCGATGTCTGCCTCTGAAGACCACGGCGAAGGCGCCAGTGCCGATCAGGTCCTTAGGATTGTACTCGTAATCGCCGAGGATCTCCATCTCTTTCTCTCTCTCTCTCTCTCTCGTCCGACGGGCGATCTTTACCGACGTGTTACTGAAGTCCGCGGTTTACCAACAACACGAGGACGCATCGCCCGCGATCGGGGATCGATACGTCGCTCCGCTGTCGTCTGCTCCAAAATGTCACGACGTTGTCACGCAGCAGCCCCCGCAGGGTTCTACATCCCGTCCGTCATCGCGTCCGCGGGACCGACCGTCCTCAATCGTGGCGTCGACGAATTAGCAGCCACCCCCAGAGGCAACGCGATGCGGAGGGCGGAGTCGCGGAGGGTGAGCGGCGCGGAGCAGATGGGAAACGCACGTCGGGAAAGGCACGTCCGAAGAAAACACGGGACACGCCGCGGAGAGGAGACACGCACTCTCCGCCGATGCGTTTACGACGCGCCGCACGCTCCACCTCGGCCGTCGACGTTGACGCAATTGCCCGACCGTCGTCGTCGTCGTCGTGGGAGCGACGGGACGTCGGACATCGTCGCGAATGGCGCGACGATCGCCTGCGCGCGAGTGACGTCGCTCGAGGAATAGAGAATTCCTCAGGCGAGAGTTTGGACGTTCATTCAGATCCTCATAGTTCTGGACCACAGACTCTATTACAATATAACTAGACTGCTGACTTTGACATGTGATAAGAAAGAGATGGAAATTAGTCCGAACTGACATTTGCTTGCGTATCCGCATGCATATGTGTGCGTATGCTTGTGAGTGAACCACGTGATTAGAATATATCGCATGAGTGTATCACGTGATCCGAGTTCATATGAGTGTGAAAATGTAATTTTACACTTTATATATGTGTGAGTATATATCCAAGCAATGGCTACTCGCAACCTTTAAAAATGGCGACGAAGTAGTCCAGTTGACAACATATAATTCGAGTCTCCGCTAAGTGAGGTTCGAATCTTTGCTAAGTGGGGTTTGAGTCTTCGCTAAGTGGGGTTCGAAATATGCGCGCGCGCTATAAGTGCAGCGAGCGCGCGCGCATTCGATTCGAACCCCATTTAGCGGAGACTCAAACCCCACTTAGCGAAGATTCGAACCTCACTTATATGCCGTCCCATGGCAAAGATTTTTCATGTAACGCGCGTATCGCGTAACCAATCGGAAGCGTTTTTAATAACATTACGCATTTTCTGCGCAATACGGGTTACGTGAAAAATCTCTGCCATGGGACGGCAGTGACGGCACTCTCAGAACAGACCTAGACAATTTATCCAAGGTTGGCTATCTTTAATAACTTGTTGTCTATGGCAAACGCGAAGATTGGCGGGGATCGCCGAGCGAGGGCAGCCGAAAGCCGAAAGTCGCAACGGTCCGGAACAGTCCAGAAGGGCGCTCGCTTCGTGCGCCAGGATTCCTCACGTCGACTCTCTTCCCCACGAGCGTTCCGTTCTCGCGTTGTTGTTCGCGCGCGCGGCGACAAGTCGCCGGCCCGCGGAGACGCGATCATCGGCTTCCCCCGGCGCAGCACAGGTAAAGATACCGATCAGATGACGACCGAGGAGCACCGCGGGGCTCCATTCGAACGTGTGCGAGATTTGCGCAGCGCCGCGCAGCCGGATCGATAATTGATTACCGTGTGCATTACTCTAACCTAGGTGCCCGTGAATCCGTTGGATTATTAAATATCTGTGCACACATTTACGCGACGTGTGCAACGTATACGTGTCATCGGGTGACCCGCTATCGCGATAAATTGTCGTCCGAGACGCTGAAAATGGCCCGTCCGCCGACGTAACTCAATCGGCCGGACGCCGCGTTCCTTTCCTTCTCCTCGCGCGCGACCGGAACGGCGATCCGATCCTCGGATTTCTCGGCGATTTACCTGCTGGCGAACGATCGATTTCGAAGCGGCTCGTAAATATCTAGCACGATGTGCCGTACGATAAACGATTACGTGCCGTTTAATGGTTTGCAATTGCCGTGACGATTGATGCAATCATATATGTCACGATTTGCATGAGGTTTGTTCTTTGTAGCTGTGCTATTTGTATGTTTTTACCGTTCATCTTTCCTTTTCTTTCTAGGCAATTTCTAATTATATATTGTTTTAAGTGCAGAAAGTACAACGAGGTGCAGCTACAAAGAGCAGGCCTTGGAGTAAATCTATTAATTTTTATTTAATCGTGGATTTATGTTTGAAATTTCAAAACAGAAATCGAAATTGATTGACTTTTGCGAAATATAAAATGGTTTTAGTCTGAAATCTTTGTATTTTGGAGTATCAAGTACTCTCTTTGATTTTGTAATTTGTTTGCTGCTTGATGTTTTATGATTAGATATTTAATTTGTCAATATTCTAACTGAAACATGTTTTATTTTTTATTCACAGAAGTGAGGCAAAATGTACAATGGCATCGGACTGCAAACTCCACGTGGTTCTGGCACCAATGGACATGTTCAAAGAAATTGGGCGATCGTGCGTAAAAACAAAGACAAAGTCACTTACAAGACGGACGAAACCAAGATCGATCAATTGAACAAGCAGCCAAACAAGGAAATTCTAGACCATGTCAGAAAGAGAAAAGTTGAAGTCAAGTGTGCAGAGTTAGCTGACATTCTGGAAAATCAAGGGTAAATATTCGAAACAAATTATAAATTTATTTTATATTTGTTACATTCTTAATTCTGGATTTTAAAGTGATTTTGAATCTAAAAATTGACACAATTCGTCATTTTTCTGTCATTCTGATAGTCTCAATTTTACAATAATATAAAAGTTATCCTCAGATATTAATTACATATTATAATTTACAGCGATATTTTATAATTGTCTTAATTGTTATTCTAATAGTTTCAATATCTCCAATAACAATTATCAACAATTATTGATGCAACTTGAATCTTAAATTCCGTTAACAGTTATAGATGAACGTATTATCTTTAAGCCATGTGTTGAAGCCAAAGATGGACATAGCAAATCCTATTACAGTTTATAATCTAATTTAAGGCCGAAAGTAAGAAAGCTGCTTGGGAATTAAATTGCTTATGACCTAAATTCTATAATGTAGTATAAATACAGTACAAATAATATAATACAAATAAAATATGAACTGTTGATATGTATATGGAAAATATACAGGATTCAGCTGAATAATAAAAGCGGGCACTATGTGATTTCTTACGGAAAAAATATAGAATCAAATTTTTTTATTTTCAGCTTAGCTTTCAAGAAAATCGAGTTTGAAAATCCGCTACGTATGCATGCTGTTACATCTAAAGTACGGTTCATCGAGCGTCATATAACGCATACCATGTTTATAAATAACGCTCTATTATGCTTAACACTCAGTTTTCGTTCAAATATCACGACAATGAATTGTCACACGAACAGGTTTTTTAAACTTCATTTACTTAAAAGCTAAGTAAAAAATTAAAAAAATTTATGTTATACTTTTTCTTATTTTTTCACAAGGAATCACGTTGTACTCGTCTATACATATTATTCGGCTGGACCCAGTATAATAGATATATACATATGTATAACTTCTAAACGGTTTGCAATTATAATTTTAATAACAGATCCGTAGCGAAAGTAATTAATGCAAAAAGGTAGAATTACACAAACAGATTTATCTGAGAATTGATATAATCTTGTTTTTTTTGTTGTGATTTACAGATATACGAATGAGGAAATACAGAGCAAGGTGGAAGCTTACAGATCGTTGTTAATGGGTAGCGATATCAAGTCATCCACACCGCAAGATGAATTTGGCCGTGTTAAGTAAGTACATTTTATCTAATCTTTTTGAATTTTTTCTTAAACTTAAAAAGCTATACAACAAATTGAAATAAAACAACCGAAACGTAATGTAATAACTTGGAATCAAATTAATTAATCGATGTTTATAGTAATCATATATACAGTTTGATCAAATTAGTTGGAATAATACGTAGGTAAATAAAAAATTAGATGCAGTTAAATTAAGTGCTATGTAATATAATTATTTTAGAAAAATACGAGAAAAATATATCTATAATACTATGTACATAATATTAATTCTGCGAGATAGAAAGATAGATAATTATTATAGATATATATTAATATAACATAATTGAGATACAAAATTAAATAATTTCAAATTTAGTAACAATAATTTGGTATTGGGAACAGAGATTAATTTAAAAATGCGATAGTACTTTATTTTGGAAGAAGTGCATGCATTGTTTGTGAAAGGAAAGAGTTTTCCTCTTCCCATTGATTTCTGTCAGCCAAATCCAGGATAATCCTGACGACGCGCAGATACTGCGTGAAACGACATATATGATGTTAAGGGTGTCTGAGCTTCTTGAGATCTCTCTGCCGCGACTTTATTCGATCCTGCGCTGAAGGAAAGCTCTCACAAATGCAACATCAATATCGCGAGAAAGTATATTTACAGATCTACATGCTCTCTGAAAATCCTCGAGAGACATTCAGAAGATTTGCGACATCTTTTAGATATCTTGGTTATTTTTGTAGCTGCAATTTAAATTTTATTGTACGATTTTTCGTACAAATTAAATGTATTTATAAATTCAATATAAAGAATCAATTTAAGGCTATAAAAAGGAGGCTTTTAAAACCTGGGACAGGTTTATATATACATATATATTATATACTAAAAATATATATTAAAAATTAGATATTTTTTATTTTAATGCATACAGAAAGTTCTTCGTATTCAGAAAGAAACAAAAGTTTCTGTAAAGTTTAAAAAAGGGGAATTGTTTTCCAAAAAGATCCTAGTTTGTCATATTTTTTTAAATGTATGTACCTATGACATGTATCTCATCATATTTTAATTACGAGAAACAAATGAAAAGAAAATAATTATTAAATTGACATTATTAATTAATAATATATTAAATTAACGATATCGCTTTTTTCGAGAAAAGGAATTAGGTTACTCAGATTTATTTCGTTGTATGTAATAATCGAGTAAAGAAAGTGTTCTGCAGAAAAAATAATTTTCGAAAATGCGAAACATGATTATTATCAATACTGACGATCGTTAATTAAAATTATTATAATTGTATATCAATTTTTGCTCGCAAAATATTGAGCTTGAGAGAAATCTCAGAATTATAGCTTAGATATGAGATAACTTGAGAGGGCGGGGACGCGTCGCATTCCATGGCAGCCTCGGTAGGACCGGTAGCGAACAGGGTGGGTGTCGTACTCGCGATATCGACGTATCCCATAGCGCCGGCGCCAAGAGGGTGAGAGACGACGAGAGGGCTGCACCCGGGGCGATGGAGGACGAGACGGAGAGGTGGGAGAAGGAGGGAGCGCAGCATCTCGCTCTCGGCGGCGGAGCTTTTTCCGGCGCCTCAGTGCGAGGATGGACCGGCGCCACGGCGCAGCCAGCGGACGCGTCGTCGTGTGTCGTCGTCGTCGGATGGTGCACCGAGGGTCGGATTAATCTGGGGTGACACCGGGTGATCGCCCCCGCTCCGCCGGGGAAGAAACATGTGACGCGACGCGACTCACGAACCCGCGGACAAATCACAAAAGTCTTCCATTAGCTTAATTTAATCTGGTAGCGGCGGTTACCGTATTCCGCTACTCTAGGTCGTTCCTAAGTGCTAAGTCTCGAGTTTAAGAGTTATACATCGTGAGGGTAGAGCTTAAGTCTAACGGTTAAAGTCTCACGGGAGCAAGTCGGCGATTCGCGCCATTTAAATTTACGGAAGTTATCATATCGCGTAAACGATCGAATGTGATAATCGAGCGAAAGAAATCTGCGTGGAAGATCGCGCGATTTTCGCTTGAATATATAATACATATAAATACGAGAAAGATCATCTGTAACATATTTATTGTCTGGTCCGATGAGGAGTGAAGAAAAATCTGCGAGAAGCTTTGCTCAGAAAATCGTGCATTTTACTGAAAGGAACTGTAACGCAGATACATATGGAAAATAATGGATATCGAATGTCAGAGTGATCCTGAGTGAGAAGAAAAGAAATTATATTGATGTATATATTTCATAAGACTACCGTAATATAAATATACATGGAAAAGATATCGTGTATTAATGAAACATATATTAGTTAAACATTGAATGTTATACGTTGGCCGAAATTTCGGATGAAAAAGTTCTCTGAAAAGGGATTTATTGAAACGGACGGATTATTAATGAAGAAAATCAACGGTGGAATTTGAATTTTTATAATATATCGAGATATGATAATGCAAAAATAATTCGATTATCTTAATTGGAAAGAAAGGATAGTACAGAAAAATAAGGAAAATTTATTTAGAAAAGGAAAGTGAACGAGAAATTCTTGAACGCTCAAATTCTTGAACAATTTTTATAAAATACCCAAATTTATGCAAAGATCTTTCTCATACGCGTCTTCTTGCGATTTTTACTTCGTCAGAAACATCAAAAGAGGTGCAGATACAAATATATTATCTGATTCACATATTTCTACTTAGAAGAAATATATACAAAGTTTTTCTACGAAAATCCATGTGTCTCCAAGACGTCGACAAGTCGACGGTACATCGCTAAGGAAAACGTGCTGCTTCAGTCTGACCGAAAGAAGAAGCACGGTAATAGTGTGCCTGATCTGAAGTCTTCCTGAACTTAGAATGCGTACGGCAACTACTTCTCCAATGCGAGGATTTACATATTGCTATATATTCTTCCACGATCGTATGGAATAAGAGAAGGGTGTCTAACGGCCCACAAATAACGTGAACAATAATGGTAATAAAATAACGTGTCGTAAAATACATAAACGATAATAATTTATTCCTGATAAGAAGTTATGAGCGTAATAATAAATGATCTACAGAGTAAAACGTAAAATAATAAGTAATAATAATATAAATATAAGGAATATGAAGTAAAAAAAAAAAAAAAGAAACATAGATAATATTGTGAAACGATCGGGAACACTCGGATATGAGATGATGAGAGTCGTTTGAAGAACACCAATGTGGAACGACGCGTAAGGAAAGGGAGAGACGGAACTCGTTATTGTAATCATCGTCATCATCATCATCGTTGCCGTTGTCGCTGTATGATTGTTCTAGCTAGAAAAGCCGGGACAGTACAAAGGCTGCAAAAGACAACGGAGAGACGACAACCGGGAAGAGAGAGGGCTATTACCTTCGCCCGCGCTCTTTCCCTCGCGCTCTCGCTTCACCCCTTTCTTCCCGTGAAGGGATTAAGCGTTGTAGAGCTACTTGCGCAACGTGGACCAACCGACGGAGCGTTTCGAGTTAACAACCTAACATTACCTTGCCAATGTTATTCAGCGATCTCGTTTATTTTAGATGGTAAAATAAGGAACGTTGAAGAAACGAGATACGCGGAAACACTCGAGATAATTATCGATCATATTAGAACTGGAAGAGGACAGAAGTCGAAGAGAAATTACAGATTATTCGTAATCACTACACACAATCGGCGATTATTCTACGATCGAAATACGTTTTTCACGGGGGATTAATAAATATTCCACAATGTACTGATCAAGTACGAGAGAGAATAACTTTGTTTCTAAAAATAAAGAAAAAATAAAATCTATCGAGACTCGGTCTACGATCGGAAATAGCGTTATAAATGGAAGGCGACAAAATTCCGGGAAGGAATTTGCAGACTCGAAATTGGGCTGATTATTAGAAAACATCGATATACGATCGTTCCACGTTACGTCAGATTGCGCCAAGAAAGATTTCTCGAAGGAAAGGATCTCGGAGAAAATTCTTGCACGTCTCTGCGAATTTTGAGGAAATGGCAATGTCGGCGACGGTGTCACCGGCGAAACCCGCGCGCGGACGCGGCCCGGCCGACGGCCGGGCCTTCTTCGAGACGCTCTGGCGAGGCGGCAACTTCCTGCTGGACCGGCAAAAGGTGCTGAAGCGCTCGCGCAAACGCAAATTGCACTACGCGGCGGCCAATAACGGTGGCAAGAGGAAGCAGCAGCAGCAACAGCAACTGCTGCAGATGCAGCGTCAACACTGCTGTTGCTGCCAGCGCATTCAGCTGCACCTGCTTGCCGAACGGCGAAGCAACATACGCTCCGTCGTCAGGTGAATCCCTTTGTCAATCCCCTTGTCAGCGTCAGTTTTCATCTCGATCTTAAGGCTGTACACTGCAACCTTATCTCATCTTTGTTATGAGTTTTCCCATCTTGTCGACTGTAAACGCAAAATGGTATAGAAATGAAAAATAATATTTAATTCTCTGTCACAGACATATAATAATGATTGCGATTTATAGAGACAGATGAGAATAAATAAATATTCACTCGTTTTCAATTGTATTATAAATATAAAATCAATTACTTTTCAAGTTTTCCCGGTGTGCAGTTTACATTATTAGTTCAAAATAGTGTATAGTGATAGCAAGATTAAGCTTTCGCTGTATAGATTGTTTCTCAATTATTAAATTACTACTTTTCCCGTGATAAAAGTATATTGTAATAGGGCGAGATTAATTGACATTCAGCTTCAGGCGAGAGGATACGTGACGAAATCGTAAAAATCTCGAGCTAATATCTTATATGAAATTTATTTTAGCAAAGTCGTAATTCGAAACTTAGTTTTACGAAGATATGAGATAAACATTTCTGAGAAAAAGATATAGGAAACGGCTCCTTAGTTCATTCCGCGCTCTTCGAGCCCGATTTATTTCGCGGATCGACTCGGCGGTGTAAAGTCGCCATCGGCGATTCTACAGCGCGCAAAGGGGATGCCAGAAAAGAGAACAGCTGGATTGTATTGATCCGCCGGGTTCCGGCGCCGTGCGTGCAGGCGCGCAGGGGTGGCTCTCGCCCCCGGCTCAACCCCGGTTCACCGCTTTTCACCGTCGCAGGAAAAGTAGAGAGAGAGAGAGAGTGGAGGGGGGGGGAGGGAGGGAGAGAGAGAGAAGAGAGACTCGCGCGATTCCTGCCCCTGCTTGCCGTTCTAGTCGTCCCGCAGTGTGTTATGTCATTAGCATCGCGACGCCCGTTAAGGACGACGTTGACGCCGTTGTTTCGCGGCTTTGTACACAGGGTGTTTCCCGCGAGTCTAGACTTCTCCAGCTCGCCGGAGCTCCGAGGAAACGATCGTCGCCTTTAGAAGGATGACGGTGAAGATCTCGACACGGTAGGCGATCTCGATCATCTCTCGTTCAGGCACTCTTCGTCGTGACTCTACTAAATCATCGAGTGTGCCTTATAAATCGTTCTGATAGCAAAGATAATGCAGCGGAGCGATGTTTTGAAAACGGCGAATCGACAATTAATTATATGTGCATTGATTAAATGTGATTTAATTGCTCATTTGCATTCACGTTCTTTCCTGTGCGTGCAACGTGATACGCGATTCGATCAGCTCGAGCATATGGCGTCTGAAATAACAATAATTCTATTGTGTCGCGCTAACAGAGTCGAGATTCTATATCGAGTCTGTATTACATATAATATCTGTGAAAATGAGTATTATTATCTCTAAATGTCTGTAAGTGTGAAAGTACTAATTATAGATGCACGAAATTCAATTGTTTATTCTCACCGCTGGACTTTCATTTGTGATTTGATAATTATTACTGGGTCATCAGCTGTGACATTTAATCGCGGTGGCAAGTCAAATGAGGGCAACACAAAAATGCAATTTCTGTGATGCAATTTCTGTGAGGATTTCATTCGTAAATATAAAACCGGTCACTGTGTCGATCATTGTTATTAATTACACATCAATAATCGTAATTGTGTCAATGAATAGGATGGATCTTGCTTTCCACGGGTGGGCTTGTATATTATATTCATAAAAAATTTGGACTATAATTTGTGAAAACTAATTAACAGCTGTATATATGATTCACTTACTGCCGGAAATTCTGCAGTGTTTGGCAAAATTTTTTAAACTCTTTCCGAAATTCGTGAAATCTAACGGAGTTTATGTTTTCACAGCGTACGGGAGACACACCAGATCGCCGAGGCGCAGCAGGAGAAGAATGCGAAGCTCCGCGAGGCGTTCGGCATCTCCGAGTTCTTCGTGGAGGGCAGTAGCCTAGACCCGGAGCGGCACGCGCGCGAGGCGGAGGCGCGAGCCGCCGCCGCCGCCGCGAGCAAGGTCTACGAGCTGGTGCGTACGCCGAGCCCGGCACCGCCGCCGCCGGCACCGGAAGTGATCGCCACCACGACCGCCGAGAAGAAGAAGCGAAAGCGTTCCGGCAGCGCGAGCGCGAGCAAGAAGAAGAAGGCCAAGAAGCACAAGCGGGAAAGGTACAGCATAACGTAAACGGTGCGCGCACGGCTCCATGGAGGCTGGATTCGATTCCCACCGTGACCTTTCTTTCTCTCTTTTCTCTCTTTCTCTTTCTCTCTCTCTCTCTCTCTCTTTCTTTCTCTCTTTCTCTCGCTTCCGTTTTTTAATCGACTCAGAGTAAGATGCGAATCGAGGCTCCAAGACCGCACACCCGGCCCCGTCACACGCCTCCGGAAACACCCCAGAAAAGAGAAAAGAAAGCGACCAAGATCCGAGTAGAAAAGTCTCCTCTCTTTCTCTTTCTCTTCCTATGTCGGTTAATCGAGACTGTTCGTTTTTTGCAAACGCTCGTACTCTATCTCTTTCTCTCTCTTTTGCTTTTTTTTACGCGTTAGCTGGATTTACAGAACTGTAAACTCATGACTCACCACCTACTGTCTCATATCCCGTACACCTTTCTCTGTTTCAAACAGAACTGAGGAGGACTGAGTGCCTACCCAGTAGGCGCAGTAGGTAAGTGTGGTCGTCGCGATTAATTTGAAAAAAAAAAAAAAAAAAAAGAAAGAAACACACTCTTCGAGAAAAACTTATAACGTCGTGCGTCGTATGCAAAAGAGCGTGATTAGAATGATTATCGATGGGATTTTTTCTGGGGGATTGTCTCTCACGCGATTAGATATCTCCCCGCGGGTAAATGTTTGTTACGTTTCGTCTTTTTGGCCAGACTATAATTAAAAATTACATGTGCATTTTGTAATTAGAAATTATAAATTACTTTTGTAAATGCACGATCTTAATCCTTGTAGAAATTATGAAAATAATTCACATAAAATATTGGAAAATTGGAATATTATTGAATTTGGCAAAGTATTGGTACTGGAAACTAATAGTTATAACAATAGAGATGTGTATTACAATTTTCGAATTAAACAAATGACGGGCAAACATTTGCCGGGGGTGGTGAAATGATAAAAACGCGGGTTTTTGCAATAAACGCAGAGAAAGAAAGTTTAAAAAGTAGAGAAAATTGCGCAAAAATGAGAAAATGAACATAAACAGAAAACGAGAATCATACATTTCTATCTCTCTGTTGTTGTTTATCGATGAAGCTTGTTGTTAATGTCATCTCTCTATTTTTTTCTGACAAGTCCGTCCTAATCGATGGTTATCAAGGTAATGCTAATCCCATATTTATATCAATACTCCTCATATTATGTATTATATATATTTCGTATACTTGTCTTCCGTAAATCTTCGTTGAAAGATGTGGTTTTTCGCGGTTGTGGGTTATACAACCCGAGATCGGAGAACATCTCGGGAAATAAGTGCAAAACCAGATCTTTCAAAGCGAGCTATTATGTAGTCGGATTGTTAGCTATATCATACGATATTATACGCGATATTGTGGACAATCTCACTTGTATATCTTTCTCGTTATACTTTATTTTCCCTTGTTATTGCATATACGTCAGAATGAATATTGTGATGCAAAATTCATTTGTACTGTGCGTACTTTCGAAATATTTTGACAAATTTCAGAAACGAAAGAGGAAGGTTTATATCAATATACATTGACGTGAACTTCTATTTTTGTTCAAATGCAAGATATTTGAAAGTTTGTCTAATTATTTTGAAAGTACTCTGCATAAGTAAAACGCTGGCTTTTTTAAAAAAAAAATCGAATTATTTCGATGTGTTAAAGAAAGAAAAAAAAATTAAAACTCTCGAATTGTCGTTCTCGGCGGAGAATGGAATATATTACAAATTTGTATCGCGGGAAGTTATAATTTCTATAAGCGGATAGCTTGTGTATATTGTACGTGTACGTTGATATATCGATAGAACGGAGAATTGTTTTTCACGTACACCGAGATACGTTGTGTACTACAGCTTTCTTTATATATTGTCAGCACAAAGGTATGCACTTGTCGACAGGAAGACGCCCACTGCAAGAGTTATATAAAACTAAATATCGTTTGACAAAACAAAACAAAAAAGATACGACCGCCTCGAGACTCTTGTAACGATCGTTTAATCTCCGCTTTCATAGATCCGAATCTCCCAAGTCCGGCAAGAAGAAAGAAAAGTCCAAGAAAAAGAAGAAGGAGAGGAAGCACAAAAAGGCCGAGGCCACGTCGTCCGACAGCGACTCCAGCGAGGATTCCGATGACAGCAAGTAATGACGATAACCAATCTATTTAAATCCCAATAACATTAATTCTTTATGCTGATTATCTCTCTAAATTTTCTGGAGTGAACTTTCACTCTTTTGGAGTGAGTTTCACTCCAGAAAATTTAGACAGTAATTCTTGTTAAAATAAAATAAAAGCATTCTCTATTGCACAATGTTTTGTTAATTTAACTTATTTTTACAAAAACGAATGAAAAGATATCGAGTAACTTATTTCAGTATAAGATCTCTTAATCAAAATTGATTATAAAATTAATGCATAAGTTACGTGATGAAAGTAAATAACGAATGGGCATTGCACAGCTCGTCCGAGGCCGAGTCGAAGAAGAAGAAGAAGAAGAAAAAGAAAAAGCTGAAAGTCGATGGAAAGGACAAACATGAGGTACGCACGATGCTTTGAAGAGAATTAAACATAAATTCCCGTCTCTTTCTCTGTCTCTGTTTCTCACTTTCTCTATCTTTACATACATATCTATATATATTTATATATACTTCGGCACGTGAAAGTAGTAGGCGCATGACGTCTCTAGTTTTTGTTTGTTTCTTCTCAATTTGTTAACCGGTTGACGCTGGGTGATCACTATTGTTTATCCAATCTCTTGAGTTTGCCACTGTCTTGAAAAGGACAGCATGATCGTCACCTTCTTCTCTATGCCGATCCCCTTCCCGGTTCGCTTGTTATTTTGCATACGATTTTTCATCTGATTTCCAGTTTTTCGACAGTTCATTATTTCAAAGTATAAATCTCAGTATTGTTTGTAATTATTCAGCGCCATTTGACAGGAGACATTCCCTGAGTGAGTACCAGATATGCCGCTACTCAGTGTAATTTCTAATTTTGTGGATTCATATGTACTCGTGTACTTTCGAATATTACGAATTTTACTGTTGTTTAAAAGCCTCTCTATTTCTCACTCGTTGTATGTCGAGCACTATTACACACTAATTACGGAAGACCGATCTCGGAGACTGCTTGTTCTGAAATGTGGGATTAACTTTGGAATGCATTTTCGAAAGGGAAAATTATCACAATGAAGAAAGAAATTTATAGAAATGTTATAGAAATGAAGTAATAGGATTTTGGATCTTTGTGTTCATGAAAATCGTCCAATTTAGTATATATTTTGGAAAAGCAACACCTCGAAGAAGTTATTATTTTTAAATTATATTTTTGTAAATATATTAACTATCATTTTTTAATTTAAGAATAAGCTTAAATCTAGAAATAATTTAAAGTAATTATTAAATTAATTTAAAAATTACCTTAACCTAATAATTATATGATTTTGCTTAGCTTTAATTTGTAACAACCACATGTTTCTTTCATTACATCGCAGTCCTGGATGGTCCTAAGCTTCCAAACTTTATTACAATTTGTGTGGAAAGGAATTATAATTCTCTCTCCTTTTGCCCAATCTTCATCCTAGAAAACTGTTTTAAACACTGAATTTGTTTTTAAAATTTATTATTATTTTAAGGTTTCTCTTCTCTTCGAGTTGTAGTTTTTCCAGATGTGCAGAAGTATATATATATAACGAATGAACTATTTTATATTATTTATTTTTATCGTTATTTAAGATTAAAAAATTTGAAAGGAGCAGACTCCGGAAAAGTTCTTTAAATAAATACATCGTTCCTGTTTTGTTGCATTTTTTTCATTGTTTCTTGAGTGCATGATTGATGTTTATTAATTAGAATTGATAAGCAGTATTAATTAATGTTGAATTTCTTTTTAGAAGAAAAAGGCTTCGAGTAAACGGAAACGTCAGTCATCCGAAAGCTCTACGGACAGGTACATCGATTGCTTTTATTTTCTTAACTTTTTTCTTTTTTTTGTCAATTTTTGCACATACGATTGCTATTTTATGAACATTTGGCAGAAAATTTTTTGATAGTAATTAATTTATTCGCTTCAATTATCATTTACTGACTCTCTTATTTGATTTCTGATTCGACGTGATTTGATTTTACAGCTCCGTGGAAAGACCGAAAAAGGTGAAACATGAGAAAAATACCGCGGTGGACAAGGCGTCGAGGAATGAAGTTTCCGAGAGTACCGTGGCCTCGCGTGAGCCGCTTCCTCCTCGATCGATCCGATCACCGAAGCGAGATACATTGTCGCGAACAATGTCTCGGAACGAGACTCCGCCGCTGCCGCCGTCGGCCGTCACTAAGACAAAGAAGGATTCGCCGAAGAAGAGCGCGGCAGAGAAGCGGGACAAATCGCCGATGAACCACAACAGGAGTCCTGTACCGTCATCGAACAGGCGACACAAGTCATCCTCCAGAAGCAGAGGCGATAGAGGCGACAGAAACGATAGAGACCGAGACAGAGACAAAGACAGAGATAGAGATAGAGACAGAGGAGGAGGAGGAGGAGGAGGAAGGTCTCCCAGGAGGTATTCGAGGTCACGTCGCGTGAGTCCGTCTCCCAAACGGAGACGAGGGTATTCTCGATCGCCCAGGAGACACGGCAGGCACTCTGTCTCCAGGAGCAGGAGCCGTTCCAAATACGATCGTTACGGATCCTCCCGCAGGAGGCCCGTGTCTCCGCCAGCGAGACGCAGGGAGACCGATTCTCGTCGAAGATCGCGCTCGGCGAGGCGACAGCAGCAACGCTCCCGGCGATCCCGATCGCGCTCCACCCTGAGTTATTCGCCGGTCAGAAAGAATCCGGAGCGCTACAAGGACATCCTGGAGGATCGCAAGCCGCGGCGGGATCAGAAGAAGAAAACTAAAGGCGACAAGGTGAAGTCACGCTCGACGTCGAGAAACAGGAAGGCGCAGCAGGTGGCGGTTGCGCCCAGAGTGAGTCTGAGATCGTCGAGCGAGGACGAGGCCGATCTCGCCGACGACGAACCCAACAAGCAGCAGCAGCAAGAGGAGGACGAGGAAAGGAGGATCATAGAGCTGAACACGTTGAAACGACTGCAGAGTGGCCTGGCGGCGAAGGCGCGGGAGACGCTGGAGAAGAAGGTGATCAGTCCCACGAAGATCAAGATTGAGAGGAGGGAGGATGTGTTAGACATCGCTCTGCCGAACGAACCACCGAAAACCATCGCGCAGAATTCAACCGTACCGATTCGAGACAGGTCCGCGTCGAAGGAGCCAGTTATACAGGCTCTACCGGCCATTCAGTCGCCGGTGTCCAGTAGATCGCCCTCGCCGGCCCTACCTCTCACCCGAGAGGAGGCGGCGATCAAGATCAGATCGCCGAGCGAGTCGCCGCCGCCGCCGCTGCCGTTGCCTCAGCAATCCTTCGAGAGAGTCGATTCCGCATCTCCCAGCGTGAAGACCAAGACAAACAGCCAGTTTTCGAGATCGCCAAGTTCCTCCGGCAAGAAAGACTCGCCGTCGATCGCGTCTTCGAAGAAGGACACCTCGAAGAGAGAGTCGTCCTCCCGTTCCCCCACCACGACAATGATATCCAGAGAGGACAGCACGATAATGAAACTGCGCTCGCCGAGCGAATCACCGCCACCCTTGCTGAACATCTCATTAGCCAGATTGAATCGGCGCTCGAGATCGCCGAAGAAGGGCAAATCATACTCCAGATCGGCGTCGAGATCAGGCACGAGATCGCCGTCCGTCGTGGACAAAGTGAGGTCTTCCAGATCGCCGTCCGGGGACAAGAAGTCGCGATCCCGTTCGCGAGGCAAGAAATCATCGGCATCGCCTGGACAGCGGTCGACCTCCAGATCAGCCTCGAAGAAGTCGTCGCCCAAGACGAGAACGAAACAGCAGCGCTCGCCCCGATCGAGATCTACTTCGGCTGAGTCGAAGCGCTCGAGCGCGTCGAGATCGCTCTCGAGGTGCAAGAAGTCCCCTTCGCGGTCCAGAAGCAGAAATCGATCGTTGTCGAAGAGGAGATCGCGCAGCCGCTCTTCCGTGTCAAAGAAGTCCAGGAGCAGATCGCTGTCGAAGAAAAGATCGCACAGCCGTTCGCTGTCGAAGAAATCCAAGAGTCGATCGCGATCGGCGTCGAGGGTCTCCAGGGACAAGGATAAACGCAGTCACACTAGGAGCAGCTCGCGTTCCTCTGCTAGGTAGGAGCTTGTAAAATTTTTTAGCGTTTGACTCTAATAAAATTATTAAAATTGTACGAAATCAATTTAATAACTGTCTTGTGCGTCTCTCCCTTTTTCAGCTCCAGGCATAGTCGAGGTAGAAGTTTTTCCAGTTCGTCAAGATCGTCGAGCAGTGTCTCCAGTCGATCCTCCCGCTCCTCATCCAGCAGCTCTGCCTCCAGTAGATCACGCTCACCGTCGATACCTCGACGCCACGGTTCACCCAGCTTCCTAGACAGACGGCGTATCACGAGGTAGGTATCGCGAGGCTGCAGTGTATTATCATGGTAGCTTATATATACGTATATATATTTACCATGCACTCTGTACGCGGACGCGCTGGACTCCGCGAGTCCATCACTGTAATCGTAGATTTTAATTTATCAATTATACTTTTTTTTTTTTAGTTCACATTTCTTTTGTTAGAGTTTTGCTGTATAGTTATTGTTATTACATATCTATATTGTGTCATTATAATCGCTACAAAGAGAAATGCTTAAGAACTAATTTTTAAGAAAGACTGTTTAAAGTTTGTCGAAAAGAAAACTATTAGAGAAATTTTTTTATACGAAAGAAAATTTGCCAACGCGATTAAGGACCTCGGTGTGCTAATATTGTATTTATTGTGTCCTACAGGGACAGATCAAAGGACAGGCATAGAAGATAAAGTTATGGCTTCGCACAGCATATATATGTATAGCAATAAAAAAGTCTGATATATATATAGACTTATATATATAGAACTTTTCCTCTAAGCAGTTTAGAAACTTGCAAATTAATACTTGATGGCCAGGGATTAATATCCTTCGTATTGATTAATGTCGTATTATCTTCTATTTATATTTTACGAGCAATGAACGTTATTATCTCGGTATAATAATGGATTTTAATTCTGTGCTACTGAGTAAAAAGAAGTGTACTGATTAATTTCCTTTAACTAATATCTAAATAATGTACGAACGTCGCTCAATAGCGTTTATTGTCTGGCGAATATATAAAAATATTCTAATCATGAACCGACAGTCAAGGTGTTAAATATCTAGTATATATGTGACAATTAATTACAGTATAAATGTGTAATCGAGTTTATTCAAGTGATAAATGTAATAACAAAAGCAGGAAAGTTTCATGTAAACTATCAAATATTATTATCGTAATTACGATAGCGGTCACAATTATTGACAATCTCACTTGTAGAATAACTTAGCGTCTTTTATTTCGTATTTTTGTGACTTTTTATTTGTATAATCTTTTCTTTTTTCCTTCCTCTTTCCTCTTTTTTTTTTTTTGTAATCAAATCACTCGTAATTGATCCAGGAATATCATGTAGATATGGCATGCGTGTACGTTTTCCTTTTATAAATATTGTAAATTAAATCGTTGTCTTACACATGCAGTAGATTCCTTTTATTTTATTGTCAGTCGCTAAATAAAAAAAGATTTACTAGCAAACGAATTTTTTTTTTAAATTTATAATTTATTATTTATCGTTTTCTTAGTTCAATATTTTTTGCGATTTCTGAGTGTTTCTCGCGCCACTGCGTTCTGCAAAGAAACATTTCGCCGACAGGTGAGTTCTCACATTTTTATTTTGCACGTCCCCCGTTTTTCCGCAGCTTGCTTAATTTATTTTTATCACGTCGCATGTGCTGTCTGTTTTATTTTCTACAATGACCTAATTTTTGTTAATAGAAAGAAAGAAATAATTGATTCAGTAGATTAATAAGCAAGGATTATATATCTGCTACTAATAATCATTATTTACTAATTATCTACTAAATATCTAATTATTATCATTTAGAATTAATTTATATTATTAGCCTTAAGTCTCTATTAACGAGCAATAACAATTATGATATATTACAATTATTCGCAACTCTATTGTCATTATTAACCCTAACTTTTGTTATTATTCATAATTAATTTTCGCTAATACGCGCAGGATAAAAGAATAACGAGTATTTTACCATCTCCCGCTCTTTCAAAATTAACAATTGTAAATAACATGCGTTCCTCATCAGGGAAGTATCGCGATTTACTAACGGGCATTCGTTTTAGCGCGAGGAAACGTCCGATCCCGTATCATCGACCAACCCCGACACCACCCTCGTCGCCGAGTAGTTCCGAGAGCAGCAGGCACAGCAACTGGTCCACTGCGAGTCATCGTTCCACCTGCTCCGCGAGTCGTAGTCCGTCTTACACGCGTTGAGAAAGACGCCCATGAATTCCCAGTAGGGGGAAATTCGACGTTCCTTCTTCGTATACTAGACTCGGAGCGATCGTAGGCGCGATCCTTTATGACCTGAAGGAAATCACCGTGTCCCGCTAATCGAATTTCCCGAGATATTATCAATTTAAAACATTCAAATATGTATTTAAAGATATATTAATTTAAAGAATTATAGTTGTAAATATTAATTTATAAAAACGAAAATTCAGGTCATGGAGGGTCGAAGAGAGTGTTCCAGTCAGGAAGTTTAATAATGTCTGTTAAGTTTTCCGAAAGGAAAGATTGCACGGGGTACTCCGAGATAAATGGGCACGTTGCATTATTTTTAGCGAAAAGAAATTGATCTTCATTAGCAATAATTTCATTGATGGTTTCCGTGCTGTTCATTCGACGTGGTTCACGTGGAACAACGCCGTGTCTGTACTTTCAGTTGATTCGGAAACATTTTGTATATGAATCGTACACAGTATCAATTAATTCAAATGACAACAGTCTAGTCTTAAAGAGGATAACAATCTAGTTTAAAGAAGATAACAATCTAGTCTAAAGAAGACAACAGTCTAGTCTAAAGAACTTTGAAAAACTGAATTGACTTTCAGATTATTTTACGTTCGTAGGAAAAGAGTTTATATTAATTTTATGAATTTAGGATAATGATTTGCAATCAGAACTATCTGGAGATGCAAGGGCTAATTTTTATTTGGTATTATTTGAATAGTATTTATTTAATTCCATTTTATTGAAATGAATTTTGAATGGAAACATCATTCCGAGCATAGTGCGTAATTACGAATCTGCGTATTTATTTATTTATTTATTTATTTTTTTGATAATTTAACAAGACACCAATTAACCGGCTTATAAAATTTATAAAAAGAAACAAATCTCGGTCGTAACGATAATATCACTTATTCAACATGTTGAAAAAGAAGATGTCACAATATCAATTTTATATTTATTTCGAATTTTGATTCGAATTACAGTGCAATTTTGCAATTATTGTTGATATTAGAAAATTATGGTGGAGAAAAATGAATATCAATGTAGAATTTAGTGTATTATACTCTCTTTCTCTAGTCAAACAGACTCGTATTATCATGGTGCAGTAACTTCATTTTCCTATAACTTCTAACAGAAGTTTTCACTTAATTTAAAATGAATATTCAAATGGGAAAAACGTACGTGTGCAAGACAAGCAAAGGAGATATTTTAATAACGGATACGAGAATTTTCTTTCTTTCTCTGTGAATCGTGAGATTTTTACAAAACGTTCATCTGTTTTTAATATTATAAATTTTCATTGCGAATTTTCATTAAATTACTTGTGTATTTCTTGGATCATTATTTGCTAATTCTTACGTAAGCAATAACGGAAAAGAAAAGATCTGATTGAGCATTCTTTGTTACTCATCTCATTTACTATCGTAATAGTATCATATAATATAGTGATCTAGGCGTTTATAATTTGCGCTTTCTAAATCATGCTATATCCAAAGTCCTTAAACTCATCAATGAATGCGGATTTAATTTAGGTATTCAGAAATTCTCAGTGCAATGTTATAAATTCGTTCTTTTGTACATTTGTAGATATTATTTTTTATAAAATTCTACATTTTCCTTAAATAGTTTAAATCCTCTCTAAACGTATATATATAATTATTTATATATATAGATAAAATTTAGTAATTTTTAAATTTATTATATATATATATATGTATATGATGTATTTATTTATTTATTTGACAAAGTAGTTTTAATTTAGCGACTGTGACAACACAGCGATTCTTTTACATGCAATATTCACAACTTGGTAAAATACTCTAGTCACAGGAAGATGATTTCTCGCGAAGGCTCGAAACTGGGCCAGGCAGCAACGTACCAAAAAGACATAATTAGAATACTAGTCTCGATTACGCGGTTACGCGAAGTTAAGCCTCGAAGATATATGTATAGGGTTAAAGAAGGATCATATTTGGAAAGTCTACATTGTTTACGACTTGACAGAGAAAACTACGTAGCGCTAGCTCTCATACTCGTAACGACTGATTTCTTTCTAACGAGAAATTCCTCGACCGCTAATATCGGGTCATTGCGTACGAATTGTATCTCTTAACATTCAGCATATCTGAAGATACTTGACTTTTTATCCTTTCCACCTTTCTTTCGCTCTATACATTTGAATGAGATTGAGAATTTTGATTTCTCATTCTGAAAAAAAAAAAAAAAAATCACATTTTATACGCAATGCTCGATCGACGCTGTCGAGCTCCATATTAATGTAGGTCGGATACATTTTACAATTTTTCCAGTGCAATGTTTGTGATCGCTCCCTTCCTGAGATTCGTTTCCGCGTATAATATAAAATAAATAATATATATTCGAATATACAGCGAAGTTATGGGAATGTTAAAAGGGTAAAACTTGAAAACTCTATACCTTTCGCACGCCATTGTTACCCTAATTACTTAAAAGGTCTCCGAAATGATAAATTCTACGTAGGAAACGACGTGCAAGGAAATCCCTTTCAAAATTCGAGTTGCTTTCAAAGAGCAGAACGCCCCGATCTCTTCGTCAGTTCATCATTGAGAGGAACTCGTGATCTGAAACTCTTGAACCTGACGTCTGTACCCGCTTATGATTTACAGCCATCGTCGAATGTTATCGTCTCGTTAAAGTGAGAGAAAATTCGGATATTATATCTGTAATATACTCTGTATTGTTGTTGTGTGATTAAATCGAAAATCTCAAACACACGCCACATTTTGTATTTCTGAAAAAAAATTCTGTTCCATATCTCGAGACAAATATTATAGACAATTATAGAGGAACCGTAAAATCGTCGACTATGTGATTATAATTGATATTAAAACTCTAATATCGTAGGTAATTGAAAACAAATAAAGATAAGTAAAACAATGTCGGTAATCAATAAGCTCTATGAAAGATATAAATGCAATATCAAAAAAGAAAATGATATGAAATGATGACTAACGAAAGAATAGCTATATAAGAAAAATATAAAAATAAATAGAAAAAACGCAGTTCGCATGTAAATCTCTATATTATTTATATCCTGATATCTATCAAAATTATCAATTATATTAATATACAGCACCATTCCAGTAAGACGTATATTTTGTACATTTCCTAGACCAATATTAACAAATCACAATGGAATGTATCATTAACATAACATTACTTCACTTTGTACAATCATAAGATTGCCATTACTTGATAAATTCATTACACGTTATTCGTGTAACTTTTTCACTTTTTGCTTTCTTCAACGGTGTCACCTAATCACACATACGCATTAGCGTATTATTGCATATAAAAATATCTATAACAACGATTATACAATAAGTTCTCATATTCTTTTACTTGTCTTTCGAAGCTTTTGTTCTCTTTTTGGCAAGATAGACAACCCATGCGAAACCAACGAGATTCAACATTAAGACCCTCAACTGAAAAAAAACAGTAAGACATTAACGATTGATTGTAGCAAGTTTATAGTTTATAAGTTAATATATTGTCTATATAATTCTACTGTTAGGAAAAAGATTGATATAAAAGATACAAAAAGTGAAGAGAAGGAAATACAATATAAAACAAAGATTTTTGAATATAAATCGAAAAGGAATTTTTAATCAAAATTTTAATTCTGAAAATAGAGGAATGTCTAAAAAGTAATCTAATAAGGTAATGTTACGTTACCATTGGTGGAACATATTTTATATTGATATAGTGGAACAAAGTCAGATACTTCAAGTTAGCCATCAATGTTGGTAAATATAATCTTTGCATCTGAACACATGCCACTCGATGGGGCTTGCCCTGTAAACAAACTTCTATTTAGTTCTGATTACGAAAATAAGGACTTCCAAGCATAGTCTTATTTAATAACTGTTTAGCTTCTAATTTTATTTGTTGAGATATCATTGCTCTTAATTTACAAAATAAGCAATACTTTCTTATCTTGTGCCACTTTGTAAAAGCAGCTATCTACAATAGTTTGTAATCTCCATACCTCGAAAATGGCAAGCAGGTAGAGCGCGAGCGCCTGAAAACACGGTGTGTAAATGAGTCTCTCTATCAGAAGTATCCCCAGAGGATTCTTCACGAGCAATCGTATGTATGTGTAAAAGTAATGGGGTACTGGTCCTCCAAACAACAGGCTGCAACAACATTTCGCGCATGAGAGACCGCATGAATTTCTCAAACCTGCTTCGTTAGCAGCGCAAACAGCGCTCTGCAGCTTACCCAAATAGCGCAAAGGCCAGAACGCTGTCCTCGTTAAGCTGCTTGGCGCCAGATAGTTTCTGAGATGCCACATTTCCAAGAGCGGCGATAATGCAACTGGAAAACAATCACACATTTCTTGTTTCTGTCATCTAATTTAGCAATACGACAGGCAGTAAGCTAGGGTTTATAAATTTATATATATATATATGTATATGTATATGTGTGTGTATGTGTGTTTATTGGAATATTTTCTAGTATATACATATAAATATATGTATATATCCAGTAAGCAGCATGCATGCTAGTACATTGACAGTTTGCCAGCAGAGAATATTACAGCAGATCGATATAACTACATCCATATTAAGTGGATTGTTTTGTTGATAACAGGTGGTTATATAATATAATAGACCGATGCGGCAACAACCTTTGATAGCAGGAGTAAAAATCGAGCGAAATCTATCATTTTGTAACTATTTAAATGCAATACATCATTTAAATAGTTATAAAATGGTACTCTGCTGGCATTCTGCCAACAATATTTACAAGCACCTTGCAAAATCTGTTTTCTTACTCAATAATATATTTTTTAGTGTCCTACATTCTATTATGTATATTTAATATACATAGAGATATAATTATATTATTTGCACAATTATATACATAAAACAATTACATAATATAATTACATAATTATATATGATATTCGATTATGACACAATGCTTAATTGTTATGTATATCTCTGGGTATACGTAATAATTAAGATGCATTGTTACCTCGTTATGGCTTTTGTTCTCAAGGGACTGGTGTAGAGTCGCTGTAGATACGCGCCGACGAGATTGTACAAAATATTTGTCGGCTTGGAGAGCGACATTTTTTTCGTTATTAATCGCCGCCTGTCGTCGACTGACTATATAGACCTGGAAGACACGTATTATTCGTACGGTGAGTATTGTAGTTGTGTGAAAAAACGCGATTACGCGATAAAAAGCGGTGCAAAGTGCAAACCGCTGTCAGCTGATAACAGAGGCTTCGACGAGTCGCTCCTATGATGGATCGTATTTTCGACAAATCATTCTCTTTTCATTTTTCTCATTCCATTGCGATTTATATGAAAATGACAGACGGAGAACGCAAACGCGTATCGAATTTTGATCGTGATACCTCGTATTGTTTACGAATCCGGACGGATTTTCGGAGGTCTACGATCTACCTTGTGCAATTCGATCGGACGACCAAAATTCGACAATCGATTCTTCTGCTGTCAAAACGCGATTCGTCTCGCGCACAGTAGCTACGAGCGAGATCGATAAGATGCAAGAATCCGAAATCTCGAGGGACTCGCGGGGGGGGGGATTATAACCTCATTTCGAGACTGACGTTCGTTCTCCCACAGGCCAGTAATTGTCGCCTGCGATCTTTGCGAAAGCTTCGATTGAAATCATTCGAGAAAAAGTATTGAATTTTACCGATTCCGTACAAGATCTGGAAACGTGTGTGATCTACGAAATTTATGTGTGCGGCCTCCGACCCGAATTCGCGAAAGGATCGAACCTGTCACCTGTTCTCAGTCCTCCCAGGGACTGAGCGGCGATTTTGACGAAACGTATAGAGAGGTCAGTTTGAATACGAAGGTGACGAGACACCCCCTGAATCGGTATAGCTATCGGTCGATCTTTTTACCTCGGTGCGAAAGCGAAAGGTCGATGCCAGTTTATCTACCTCGAGTACCACGTGATCGTTTTGCATTAGAGATAATCTCCTTGAAGAGAAATACTTCTTTGCGGCTATTATGAAAGATATGTCGTGTAGCGATAAACAATAACACGCGTAATAGCATATAGTACTTGCTAAAAGCACTGCTAGGAGTATCATGCACATCGTAATTTACATGCCAAATTGCAACATGATAACGTAATATGATTTAATATAATTACGTAATTGCAAAAAAAGTATTTAAATAGCAGCTTTGATTAAACTTCGATTAACTTAATCTTTAACTTAATCCTAACTTAATCTGCTTAATCTGGCTACGAAGTTTTTAATTGTACAGTTTATTGTCTATAATTTAATCTAAAATATAACTTACAAGGAGAAAGATTTGTTTTTGTAAGTGAATAACGATCACTATATATATATATATATTCATCAAAAATATCCATTTATTTATTCTATTTTACATATATATATATATATATATATATATATATATATATATATATATATATA